CCATCCCCATTACAATCCTATGCAATCTTATAATATGAACTAAATTAAAACTACTATTTGGTACAATTGCACATACTTCTCTTGAATATTTTAAAGATACCAGAAAGACTGCAAATGGAAAAGATCATTAAAATATCAAATACATCTCTCAGTCACTGCTGTCTGTGCTGCTGTTACTCCCAGGCTCTGATTCTCCAGGCTGGAGGTGTTTCAGTGCTGCAGACACCATCCACCCTCCTAGGACAGTGTCCACACCCCAGCACCTCCCAGCTGAGACCCTCCCTACAAAGCATGTGCTTATCCCCACTTGCCAGTTTTCCAGAATCCCACTAAGAATGGAAGCAATCAGATTTTATTTATGCTTTACGCAGCAGCAATTAGGAGGAGCATAACTAAATGTCTAATCAAAGATTACCCCATGTAAGAGTCAAGAAGAACCCAAGTCTTCCTTTCAAAATGGATTTGCCTCTCTTCTCCCAAGAATCTAACACAAAAGTGTAGCCAAAGCTGTACATCTGCTCTACTCCTAAAAGCAACACAAAGATACTACAAACAGCAGAAGTCAAACAACTTAAATAGCAAATCCAAGCAATCAAAGAATAAGAAACATCAGATTTAAGTGTGCTGTGCAACTCCATCCAGTGTCTTGAGTGCCCAGATGAAGCACTCATCATGGAAGGACTGGAACCCACTGCACACCCACAGGACACAGCAATGTGGGATCTCAGTCTTTCTGAACTCCTGGCTTTGGCACTGCAATCCAAACACCTTTTTTTAAACTTGGGAAGGGAAGAGGGGTGGCTCTATCAATTCCCACAAGGGTAAGTACTACTGTATACAGATATTTAACTTCTGAACCTTCAACAACAGGAACAGGTAAGGACAGAGCCACTGTCCTGAAGGAAAGCCTTTACTTCAGCCCTTACACAAATTCCTCAGGGAAACACAACACACTTTCCTTGTCTCAGCAGCTTCCACTGTTCCCAGAGAAAGATGGCTCCTTCCTCATATACTGTCCTGGATACCAGCCCAGCTGCTGAAGTTAAGAGGAATTTTCAGGGAAAACCTGGTTCATTTTCCTCCAAAATACCTGTGAGCAAATGACAGCCCTGGGTATGGAAATAAAAATCTTGCTGCAGTACCCAGGCTGCAGAAGGGGTTTAGAATCTGAACAGCTCTGTATGTATTGACCAAGTTGATCTTATTTCAGAACATTTAAAACACTGCCTTATTTTCCCCTCCTTTTTTGAGAGTGGAGAAATTACACAGTTGTCAAGGGGAGAGAACCAAAGAGCTTTCAATTTTAAAGAGAGATGAACACTTGGGAATTTTTCAGACACTCCTTCTTCTAGTTTTAAAAAAAGTAATTCCAAATCCATTTTATGTTCTCCAGTTAGCACTTGCAACACTTCTTAATGAGTTGCCAAAAGTAACTGCCAGCTTTTACAATTTCTTTGGCATTTAATAGCCTGTATTTTACATCCAGCTGTATAGCTCACAACAGACTTTCTCACCACAATAATTATTTAAAGTGTATAAACAAAAAATGAACTCTGAAAACAATCACTTAGCTGAGTAACTTGTGACACCTGACACAGGCTAAAAATTAGGACAATCTGCAGAACAGTAACCCTAAGACCCGTAAAGTATGAAGGCCATGTCTTTTTCTGAGATATTCTTCATAAGATATTATTTCCTAGAATCCTTAAGGCAGACTGCAAGTTTCCAGTCATGCTGACTTTCTGCATAGATTAAAGAAGGGTAAAATGCAAACTCAGTGACTAAAATACTCTACAAATTTAAGCACTCTGCATTTTAATCCAAATAAAGCTATCTTAAAATAACTGAATAAAGATACAACAATTAAGTTGAGCTCTATACAGTAAAATACTAACCATCCCACTAGTATCAGAAAGAAAGGTTAAAACTCCACAGCCTGGCATGTTCATCCATCTCACAAAACACTTTGCAGGATTCAGGCAATTAATGGTTTTATTCTGTCTTCAGCTAATGGCACCAGAATTTTCCTGTGTTTCAGTCACAGTGAACACCATGACTCTGTAATATTCATACTCTATATACATAAAAACCTAGCACATTTATTTTTAATTTTAAACAACTTCTGGAAATTTTAATGCACTGAATTCAGCTTTCTGACCACCAGAAAGAAACCCTGAAAGAAAACAGATGAATTAAAAACTCCCTGAAAAAAATTATTTTTCAGTACACACAATTTCCTTTATTTTAGAACTTAATCCCTGAATAAACTAATTATAATGAATACTCAAACAAATAACTGACATTTCTAAAACCTTAGCACAATATTTATCATTGAACATTTCATCTGGAAAACCAATGAACAGTCTCTGGTTTTAAACCATCCACCTAATCAAATAAAAGTCTCATGTCTAATTCTGATTAGACAAACCTTTAGAATTTGTATCTTTACAATCTTGTTTTAAGAGGCTGTCAACCACAATTTTTAAAGAACATTCTAAGGTCAAACATACATAAAACATAAGCATGTCACAATGAAAGAAGACTCTGAAGATCAAATGCAGAGTCAGGGAAATTCAATGTAAATTTCCCAAGGGTAATATTAATTATTTCTTAACCCTGTTAATTACAACAAATACAGAAACGATGCAGTACAGTTTGCGCAGCTACCACTAAGATTTTCAAAGGAGATGAATCCTGACAAGCTACAATATCATTACTCTAATCCCCCTACACCAAAATAATCCAACTTTTGCATCTTGCAAGATATTGATCATCCCTAAGGCCTTGCTGGCTTCCTCTATTCCGAGGCAATGTGTCAGCACCAGGTTGTGCAAAGGAACAAAGGAACATCTACAGTGCAGAACCCTATACAAAACAAACACAACTTTTCAATACCTGAACCCCTCCAGGTTCCATCTGACTCTACAAACACCTGAACATGCAGTATTCTCACGGGTTTATTTTTATAGAAATCCATCAAGTAGGATTATATCTCTTGTGCAACATTAACTGCTTCATACAAGTAGAGAACAGCTGCCTGAGACCAACATAATCTACATTTGCTGTGCACACATCTTAAGGCTGACTTTGGGATCCAAAACCCACACTGAACCCAGAGCCAAGCAGGGGGGTCTGCATTTCTGCACACTTCCTTCCATGTGCAATAAAGATTATTCCTCAGAAATGTTCAAATTAGAAACAATTTGTTAATATCTGTTATGAATGCTTCCATGTTGAATTTTAATTCATTATTCATTAATACTGGCCACATAAAAACTAAGAGTACAGAGGAAAAATAGCTAAAACTAAGAGACTTGGATCCCATTCTTGGTGCAGTCCCACCACACACCTGGCTTGCATTTACAGTGTGCACTTGTCTCAGGAGCCACTGCTAGAACATCTGCTTGTAGTAATTACCAAAGAAGTGACTGCACTTACTTGCAAAGAAAGGCCCCAACAACCAAAGACAGATGTACAAATTCAGGAATTGGCTGCAATTTTGTTGTCATCAAACCAGTAAAAAAAATAAAAAAATCTGTAAATGAACACAGGCTTATCTCTGTGTTTGTTTTTCCTGGAATACATTTCCCTTTGAAGGTTTCTACAAGTCTTATTCTCCCAGATACCAGACATTTAAACACGATATGGCTGCCTTTTCTGCAAAGAGCTCTTTAACAAATTTCATCCAATACTGCAGTTACCTCTCTTTTGAGAGCATAGAGTTTTTCCAAGTGTTTCCAGGCTTTCAATTATGAAATGTCTTTCCTGACACTGAGCTACAGTCTCCCTATGTACACTCACTTCTAAAACTTAAATTCTAGTTGGCTACTCTGTTTTTTATAGATTGCCTCATGTTTCTATTTTCAATTCTCCAAATTTATTCCAGCTTACTTCTCGTCTGAAATGTTTATAATTATTTTCAGTTTTGAATTAAACTTAAAAATCTTTTAGACTATAAATACAGTGCAATACATAAAGCATATAAAGGGAAAGTAATCAAATTACAAATATTGGTAAATACATGCTGAACTTATTTCAAGCAACTTCTACAACAACTAAAAATTTGTAAAGGCACCTTTTTCATCTTTCCACAAAGAATTATTTATCTCTTCTGCAAACACACACTTTAGGCAAAACTACCCTAAACTCTGCCTCTTATTGCTATGGCACAGCAGCCCTGTGCCATAAGATCCAAATATTTTTGCCTCCACATTTCAGTAAAATAGCTCAGTTCTAGCCCTAAATGGCCCCAAACTAAACTGCCTCTCTACAAACTTTTAAACCAATGCAGCCTTCAAAGAAATTTTAAGAAAACAACCAAAAAATAAACCACAAAAACAAAACACCAAAACCAAGCCAAAACAAAAAACACAAGACCACCTCACATTCACCCTAGAAAATAAATTAGCTCCAAGTTCAAATCAACACATTCCACTGATGAGTTTGAGACAGGAAAGCACTCTATCCTATCAATCCCTAGAAAAAGAGAAATGTACTCACAGCACAGGAAAAACTGTCAGTGTAGAGATCACACCCAGAAGCAACTTAGAAGAATCAAATCTTTCTTTTCAATAAAGTATATTTTAAATTTTATTTTAAATTTATTGCAAATCCTTGGATAGAATGTGATTGGCTTTCTCTGTTCTACTGTCCAGTGAACTTAGCCATCCTGGGATTCATCATGCTGGGATATCACAGTGCCTCTGATTCAGAGCAGCAAGGGACAATTATTAAACCAGTGATACACAGCCCAGACTAAGACTGAGCTTTGCAGCCCCAAATCATCTCTTAGTCTGAACACAGTCTTAAGAGACTCTCTAAAGCAGATTTTTTCCTTAAATAAAAAAAAAAAAAAATCCTAGGCCTCATAAAATAAACTACATTTGAGTAAGTATTTCCTGTTTTCACAACAAAAAGGAGAGGAAAGCACAGTTGCAGAAACACATGAGGTAACAATGTGTAAAACACAATGCACCAAAAGTAAATCAAGACAGACATACCTGAGCTGTTGACAGGCGAAAAACAGGGCCAGTTGTGGGCACAGAAAGCCTGGGTGACATGTTGGCAGGACCCTGTCCCTGTGTCTGCACCTGGGCCTGCATCTGAGCCTGTGCCAGAGCCTGCTGGGGCACCATCACGAGCTGCCCGGCGTCCGTGCGCACCAGGACCATCCCTGGGGAGGGCAAGGAACAGTCACTACACGGCAAATAACAGCAAGGATTACACACACACAACTATCTAACCACAGAAGGCAGAGTAAAGGTCATGGATGGCACTGTACATTATTCCCTACAGTGCATCTTTTTTTGATTCTCATGTAACACAAGATTTTATCTCAAAGAAGAAAGGGAGCCCCCACTAGCAGACTCAATTCAGTTTGGAATTTAAATAACTGCAGTTTATGGAAAGCAGTGATAAAAAAAGCAGCCACTGGAGTGTTTGGGGGACAGTGATTTCTAGAAGTCTAGTCAGGGTTAGGAGAACAAAATTAGAAATAAATACTTAGTAAAAGTAAACTCTAAGGACAATGCAGCTGCTGGAAAAACAACTGAGTACATGCATACCAGGGACAAAGACCCGAGAGCTTTACTAAACAACAGCTACGAGGACATGCAAATATTGGCCAGACACACTTCTGAGTGTACAACATCTGAGATTTACTTAACACTGACCATTAGCACATTAATCTATTTGGTACCCACCATCACTACTTTGAGAGGCCTGTGGTTTAAACACCAACAGCAAACACTGCTAGGCCCAGAGAGCACACAACCACACAGGGCAGAAACTTTAGAAAACTGGCAAGTGTTTTCTAACACTCCGGAAGTAAATGATAATTTTTTCAGATTATTTTCTTGTAAAACACCTCACAAATAGAGGCCTTCTACACAACAGAACCATTGCCATCAAGCTGTGCCCAAAGTTTTGCAGTCCACAGGTCAGAAAAAGGGAGACAATGGCTAAGTTGCTCAGTGGATGCTGGAGTTTCACATACTCAAGGTCACTGCAAAGCATGTAATGATCTTCTTATAGTTCACTCAGAACTAAGAAGCAGCTCTCCAGACACATTATTAAAAAGAATTTCCAAGTTAGTTCCAGAATACATTTTAATAATTTAACCTACATAGGATACGACAGGTCAAATAAACAGAAAAACATCTTGTCTGCAACTACTAGAGAAGCAAAAACTAAAAACCTATGAAGTCACTGCTGATAACAGGGTCAGTAGACACTGTTTCTACAACTTATCTCTATGTGTAAATTGCTTCATTTACTTTTTTAACTGTTCAAAGGAAAATGAAGAAGGTAAAATCTTATATCCAATTCTAAAGGTAACAGCTTACATCCAATTTCAACTTCCCAGCTACAACACCTTGCTTAAGGGACACAGTTTGTACAATACCCTGAAGATAAAGAAATTCAAACACTATTATAACAGATTTCAGAGCCCTACAGCAATAAAATCTTTCAGTCTGACATGGAAAAACCAAATCCCAATTGTGGGATGAACACGTGAGAGAACTGCAGCACACATAAAAGCCCTCACTCACAGAGTTGGGTGCTCCCAGACAAACTTTCCTGCTACAAACACAAACAGAAGGCAAATTTCTGCCACTATAAACTAAAGACTCATGGAAATTAAAGTTTAAGGTAACAAGCACACAGAGCTACAGCAAGGACCACATCCAAAAGCCATAATAATAACTCTCTTTCAAAGCCAAGAGTAATTTAAATAGAAAGTTGAAAGAAACTCATTAAAAACTCATCTAAAAGGTAACTTTTAAGGTCCATTAGCCATTTAAGCACCAAGCTTCACAGTTTACATTTGCAGAAAATCCTGCAAGCAGATGATCTATTTGGTATATGCCACTCCTAAACCATCTGGACACCCAAATATGCCAACTGGCCAAACGGGTTATCACTTCTCTGATCATCACTTTGAACCTTATATAAAAATCCTCATAGGATAAAGCCTACCACACTTTAAAAAATACATGTTCTATTTGCATTACAGAGATTCACAGGTGTGTTCTTAATTTATCTTCCCATTTCCTAAACCAAATTCTGAATAGAGAAAAACTGAGTGGAAATGACTAATTAAAACATGTGCCACACAGTCTCAATCAAATTTGCAGACACAATTACTACTATAAATAAATAAATGCTCATGTGTTAACATTAGATTTTAATTCAGTTTGGAGGACTACAAATTCCTGTTACTGAGCAGCTGGTACAAGTTAGAAGCCAGTTAAATGATGAGATTCATCTTACCTTCCTGTCAGTCACATAAAGATGAAATACACAACTTAGGAGCATTATCTGCTAAAATAACCTGTTCTCAAAAAACTGATCCTAAATTTCTCTTTTACATAGAAGTTTGCTATATGGGAGTTTCAGATTAATTATATATAATCCACCAAGTTAAAAACTCAAAAATAACATTGTATTTTCTGAATCATTTCCTTTTAGAACATATTATCTTTATGTTTATGCAAATTTAATGGATTTCCAACTATCTTGTAAGAAAACAAATTTGAATTAAAACTTTCTGGTGTATTATTTTCATAACATTTCATAAATCCTGGATCCAACGGTTTCCAAGACTTAGTTTTCCCTCTTCTGTTTGAAAGTAACAGATCAAAGTATTGACACAATGAACTTCAGAAACCGTGTGCAAAGTTACAATGCACAGAGTTATCATCTGCATAGAGCAATCTTCAGCAGATTAACAAAGGGAGGCAAAGGCTAAAGGCACACGGTCTGAACAGCAACTTATCTGTTTCAAGTTAGTTGGGTCTTCATGAAACCACCAAGGTTTGTATGTATGGAGCAGCAGATTCTGGGGGATTTTTCATAAACTAGGGCCGAATACACAACTACTGAAAGTCCACTCAGAAGCAAACAACTACGTTATAACATTGCTGCTCTACTTAGCTAACGTATATCAAATATTTCAAGAAATAAGTTGGAAGAACTCAGTTATTTCAGACGACATCGATAGGTCCACATCTTAACATGCTATTTATATTAACAGGAAAAAAAAAAAAAGAATTAGCTTAAATGCTAAATCAGCTCCTAAATCAAGATGACATGAAGACAGATTTTCATGTTGCAAAAACTTGGGTAAGTAGGGGACCACAGTACCCTTCAGATGAAACAATATACATGTTAAGAGCAGGAATCATGAGGATGAAGGGATGCTGTTTTGGTTAGCTAACAACCTTGCTGAACTTAAATTTTTAGTAATTAAAGTTAAGAAACTTAGAGGAGTACAAAGAGGACATAATTGCTTCAGAGTTGGAAATAAAATCTGGTGCTGTGAAGACTACCCTCACACAACAATGACATTAGCACAGTTACCAAAATTATAAATTTTAGATTACACACATTTAACACCTGGTTCACAGCAGCAACTATTCTTTCAAGCAGAAAAACTTTTCAGGACTTTCAAGTGTAAAGCAGAAGATAAAGTCCTTTAAATCACATATAAAGTTATTCTTAGTCTCCACTCCAGCTTTTTATCCGCTGTCCAACTACACCATCACAGGGTAACTCACCGTGACTGCCGCTCTCCCCAGGACAAAACCAGCAACGCACCCAACAACAACTGCAATTACTCCGCATTAGCCGTACCAGTTACACCCTAATTAGCGGCAGCCGCTTCGTCAGACGGTGCCCTCAGACAGGTGCCTCTTCTCTGGTTTCCTGCACGTCGAGCAGCGGGGACTTGACAGCTTTGAGAGGAAGGAAAGCCCTCGGCCAAGAGCAGCGGTTAGAGCGAGCGGCGATGCCGGAGCGCAGCGCAGCACTTACCGGGCGGGATGGTGAAGCCGGGCGGCAGCTGGATGGTGGTCTGCGGCGGCGGCCGCACGATCAGCTGCGGGGCTACGATCCGGGGGGCAGCGCCCAGCGCCGGCCGCGGCGACACGGCCTGGGGGGCGGCGGGCAGGGCAGCGCCCGCCTTGGCGGTGACCGCTGACAGGCTGGGCAAGGGCGGCGGGCTGCGGCGGGGCGGGAGCGGCGGGGCTGCCGCCGCCGGGAGCCGCTCCATGTGATTGCTGCACACTACTACTGTTTACACTCGCTCCCCTCCCCGCCGCCGCTGCCGCCGCCGCCGGGGGAGATGGGGACGGGAGAGGCCCCTGGGCGGGGGCTCGACTCCCCGCGCTGTCGGGGCGCCCTGCCGCCTCCCCTGCCCCGGGCGCGGGAGGGGGCGCGGGGCGGCCGTGCTGCTGCCGGCCGGGGCTGCTGCCCCCCGCCAGGCTCCCCTGCTGCGGCTGCTGGGACGGGGCGGAGGTCCTGGGCGGGGGCGGCTCGGCGGGGCCGCGGCCGCCAGCCAGCTGCGATTCCAGGGATCCCACCAGGTCGCTGAGCGCCTTCTCGTCCACCTCCTCGGAGAAGAGCAGCATCTCCTCCAGTGGGTCCGACGCGCCCGCCGCCATCTTGCGCTGAGCTGGGAGCCGGCGGCGCTATGCGCATGCGCGATGCTCTGCCGCGCGCAGGGCACCATGGGAGGGGCCGCCGCCTCCGCCCCGCCCCGGGGCGGGACCGGGACCCCCGGGCGGGAGCGCGCCCAGAAGCGGCACCGGGACCGCCCGAGTGCCTCTGCGGGAGCGCGCCCAGAACCGGCACCGCCCGAGCTTCCGGCGGGTGCGGCCGCCCAGCGAGAGGGCGGCGATACACTTGGGGAAGCCGCGGGGCGGCAGCGGCTGCAGGGAGGTGCCGTAGGGACGGACGCGGGGTGTGGAGCTGCCTCCCCGACCCAGGTGTCCGCAGGGCCCGGCACTGCCGCGTCCCGGTGACGCGCCGGCGTCCCGTCCCGTCCCGCCGGGAGAAGCGAGCGAACCGCCCCGGCTGACCCGCCGCGGGGATGAGCTGTCCCACAGCGGGGATGGATGCACTGTCCCAAAGCGGGGATGTGCAGCGGGGATGGACACTGTCCCAAAGCGGGGATGCGCAGCGGGGATGGACACTGTCCCAAAGCGGGGATGTGCTCTCCCAAAGCCGAAGGCACGCACAGCTCACGGTTGCACTGCTCCGCTCTGCAGTTACCGGGATCCACAGCTGCTGCCCTAGCCAGACCAGAATGGCTGCAGTGATACGATTTCCTACCGGGGACGCTCTTTCAGAGGATGTGGAAAACAAAAATAAGGCTCTTTTCATCGCCAGAGCAGCTGCCCTGGCGCGCTGCTCCCTCGGCATCCTCGCGGGAAATTCAAGGTAGTTAATTTTGCTGCTAACGCTTTTGTTATCGCACTCCTGTGTGCCTTTTTCCCACCAGCGCTTCCTCACACTGTGAAATAACTTAAGAGAAAGACAGTCGTCCTAAATCATCGGGTTTTTAACTAATGACAGTGTCTTCGAGAGGACCCTCCAAATAAAACATCTTCCCGCACGAATGACACACGGGATAACCACGGATTTGTGACCCCGGCAGCAGCTTGGGTTCCAGATCTGTCTCTGCCTGCCTGCAGCAGCACGGGTGCCTGCAAACTGGGATGTACTGGAGCTGCTCTGCGGTCTGAAATGGTGAATCATTCCTCATTTTGTGATCTCTCAGGGTTTTCCAAAAACCTGGAAAAGGTGTCTCAGTGGATAAGGACATTGAATTGCTCCATGCACTGGTGGAAGGAGCAGGGGGCTGGCTCAGCTCGTCTCCAGCCCTGGCTCAATCTGCTCGGTCCTACCGTGTATGACTCACTGGAGTCACAAGACCAAACTGCTCCTGGCTGCTCTGTTTCTTCTCAAAGGAGGTTACATTTTTATTCAGGGTAGTTTTTCCTGATTGTCCTTTAGGAGCAAGTTCATGATGAATCAAAAGAAACCACCTTGAAAATGCATTAAATATAGGTTGTACCAGTTTAATTAGGATAAGTTTAAATGTCTCCCGAAATTGAACCAGTGCATATTTCTTCAAGAAAGTCGCCAGTGAAAATACTGAGGGTCCAAAGGCGTGGTAGGGTGTATGAGCAGGAGATGGTGCAGTGCATGAATGGGAAAGTACAGCAGTGTTTATGAAAAGCAGCATTAAATGTACACAAGAGATCTATACATCAAAAACTTGCTTAGAAAATGAGCATTGCTTTAGTGGAGTGCTACAGCTAAATTAAATTTGGATTTCTAAGAAATGCTTCTACCTGGAAGTTTAATTAAAACATAGTAGATATTGAGATTCAATTTGCTATTGCACAAATATAAAGAATAATTATTTGGGATGGACAAAATAGAAATCTATCCAATATTACTTTTGTATGAGTCACACACTTTATTGATTTTATCAGAGAAAATTCCATGCAGTCCTCACTTAGTTGCTCCTGAACTTCGTTTGCATATGACCATCTCCAGAGTTTTCGTAAGAGAATGGAAAACTACACATATGATTCTGCAATTAGTCCTGACTATGAAACAAATTTTAGTGCTCATTTTTCTAATACTGTGGCATTAAACTGGGTGTTTCCATAAAAACCACCGTGGAAGAAAGTGAATTGCTTTGTAACTTTAGAAGCTAAAAGTTATCTTCTGACTGGACAGAGAAAATGGCAAGTATTACAATTTGAATGTACATTTGTGCATGGGTAATCTGTAAAACATTAATTTGTATTTCTCCCCAGTCCAGTCCTTTTAAATTGAGGTATTTTATATATATAAACACAGAGAGTAAAGAAGTGTAGTAGAATGTTTTATTTAAAAAACGTGATGCATACTGACTCACACTGGACTTCCTTTAAGTCAAGAGGTGAGGACATACCTAAGAATGTTTATAAAGTTGTTGCTGAAACTGCCTTTGGGCTTGAGCTTTCACTGAGGAAAACTATTTCTAGTAAAGTACAGAATCTCTCTGACTTTTGTATTAATTCTATTATAAAAATATTTTCCAAATATTTTCATGCATTTCATCACAAGAACCATTTTTTCAGAGTTATATATGTGCAGAATACAAAAAAAAAAAAAAAAAAAAAAAAGGCAAAATCTGTGATCATCTCATCTGATCTTTTAAGATACAATCTTTTTTGAATTATTTTCTCTTTGAGGTAGGGAATAATCTTTAGAAAAGTTAACTTCCAACCATGGTTTCAAAATTGCCTGTAAAGAAAATCCACCACAGAACTTGTTGAGCTGCTCTTCAGTTCTCAGCACTGCTCAGGCCTGTGCCCTGCTCACAGCCCAAGTTTGTCATTAAATAACTCAGTAACATAAAATATTAATAACAGCAAAGCCCCCTGCCCTGTTCAGCTGCATGGAGTGAGAATCTAATCTATTGTCTTCTACAGAAGTGAAGATGCTTAGAAAGGAGCACAATTTTCCTGCTTATGTGTCATGGGTTTGTCTCAAATACACACTTTCAGTGCCTTCAAAGATGCAATTTAACCATCTTAGTTTAAATTTAATATCAAAATGCTACCTGCCAATTTGGATAAGATTTTGAGATAGCTTGTTAAAATGAAGAACCCTTTATCTATGTTATTGAAATTCACTTTACACTATGAAAATATTCCTTCACCTGCTCATTTTAAGTATAACATAGAAATGATAAACTCCAAAAATTGGAGATCATGAAGATGACTGGAGTACTAAGAGGTGTCCTAGGAATAGCATAGGTGTAGGTTAAAGAAGACCTCTAAGATTCCCTCAGCACTACCAAGGCCACCACTAACTCATGTCCCCAAGCGCCACACCCATGTTTTTCCGTCCAGGGACTGAGGGTCTGCCCTGGGCAGTCTGACAGCCCCTTTCAATGATCCAGCTCCCTCAGCTGGTCTTCATAAGATTTCTGCTGTAGATACTTCACCAAACCTAGGTCCCTGCCTGCCTTGGAAGGCAGAATATGTCTAAATTTAGTTTCATGTGCTTCAGTTGCAAATGAATTTCATTTTTAAAATGGCTTATAGGAATTTTGGAGCTTGCAAAGTTAATTGTAAATACTTGTTTAATAACCTAGGCAGGACTTGATGGTGAGACTTAGGAATATTTGTCATCAAGAGGGTTAGAATTTAACCCTTAAGTGTTTCAAGGGGGTAGTTTTCTATTCCTAGGCATCTGTGCAGATTTTGTGTTTGTCTGTTTTGGGTTTTGTTTTTTGTTGTTCATTCTGGCCAACTTTTCTCTTCCAGAAACTTACAGGTTGTTTCAGAAAAGGCTGTTAAGCCTGTTCAGCCTAAGGACAGCTGAGAGGAGCCCTCAGCCTTGTGTGTCCCTGTGTGTCCCTGTGTGTCCCTGTGCCGATTCTCTTTCCCCGGCTAGCTGATGATAAGAGTGGGGGGCGGCAGATTTTCCCCCTGGAGCTCCGTTGAATCCCAGTTGTCAGTTGTTTCAGCGCAGTATAAAACACAGGCAGCACACACGGGTCCCAGGGAAACTTTATTTGATGGTAAACTTCCCCTTTTTAACTCCTGGGCCCCGATCAAGGGGCGAACAAAGACTTATATCTCAGGGAAAAGTCAGGGGAAGGCCCAACTTTCAACAAATCAGGAGAGTTGGGAGTAAGAACCTAGGCGGGGAATAACAGTAGTGAATCAATAAACTTCCAATGGAGAAAGAACGGTTTCAATAAATGGGTAAAGTTTGGAGAAATAGAAACTAGAAACTAGCTGACGAAATAACTAGGAAAAGGCGGAGACAAAAGGAAAAACAGCACCAAGGAAAACCACCAAATCACAAATCAAACCATAAACCTACTAATAAAACAAAAAGCACGACACAACATCCCTGTGTGTCCCTGCCTGTCTGTCTGTCTGTCTGTGTCCCTGTGTGTCCCTGTGTGCAGGGTCAGGCAGGCCCAGGCTCTGCTCCGGGCCCAGCCATGGCCCCAGAGCCACGGGCAGGGCTGAGCCCAGGAGCTGCCCCTGCCCAGGAGGCAGAGCTGCTGCCCTGGGCAGTGCCAGCCCTGAGCAGATGGGGCAGAGAGGCTGTGCAGTCTCCTCCCTGGGGACATTGCAGAGCCACAGGGACACACTGCTGTGCCTGTGCTCTGGGATGGCCCTGCTGGAGCCAGAGCTGCCCCTGTGGGACCTTCCAACCTGACCCACCCTGGGATTCTGTGAAAAATAAACCCTCTCAGTTTTCCATTTGATTTCTCTTCTGAAATGCTCATCCATTGTGTCCCGAGCTCAAAGAAATGTCCATTTCTATTTCCTCTTCTAACTACATGGATCTTGGAACCCTTATTCTATAAATGTAGAATGGAAAGTAGACATGTGGTTCTGCAACTAGTCCTGACTATGAAATAAATTTTAATGTCCATTTTTCTACTACTGTGGCATTAAACTGGGTGTTTCCATAAAAAACCATCTCCAGTTTTGAGAGGCAGATGAGAGAAGTTTTAGGAAGATGTGCACCAGCCCCTCTCCTCTCCTCTCCAAGACAGCAGGAAATCCATGTAACACAGGCTGTTGCTGATCCTCTACACTGTTACAAGCCTCTCCACCTCGTCCAACAGAGGTTG